TCTGTTTGATCTGCGAGGATGCATCTTTGCTAAAAGAATATAAAGATGGGATGGAATAAGTCTATAGCAGTGGACACAAGCCGAAAGCTGAAAAGACAAGGTTATCCTAGTTCTGAGTGTATCGGGTCCTGACTTCCACAGGGTTCTAGAAACAATTCATAAAAGAGTCTATACCTATAAACTCTATGAATTTGAAATGGCTATCCTCGAATGAATATATCTGTTGCCTAATAACTGTTACCAGCTGCATGTAAGAAAATAATCCTAACACATAATGTGAGCAGTGTTTCCACTCGCTCATTAAGTTAAGAAGATTATTATTTATTAGTGTGACGTGTAAGACGTTTTGTTACTTCGATGTTGATCCCTCCTTCGAAACGTCTCATGAACTTGCTCTGTTCCTCCTGGACTCTTCTGCTGTCTACTTATGAGGAAGTGGTTACATCTATCTGGGCATGTCGTGCGAGTATGGAAGTAACTAAAGAATCTATGAGATTTAAGGTAACTTTATGGGGTGATCCTTACAGAGTCCTTCTATAATTGTACAAGGTATACAAGTTGTATATAATTCAAGATTAAATAGACCTTCGCGAATGAGTGATCCTACTCCAAAACCACAACCATAAAAGGAATGGTAGTGAAGCGTAGATCACAAATTCTAAGTCTATAAGATCTCAATTATATAAACCTTAAGAGTATACATTGCAAGATTATAGACTATTCGTAAGGGTCTTTTAAGTTATCACATAAGTTATTTATATGGTGCCTAAAAATACTCCTATAGTATTTTAACGTAATGTACTTGGTATGTTTTAAACTTGTTATCGCGTTATGGTATCATAGAATACTCCTATAGTATTCTAACTCTACTGTACTTGATCTAGTATTCTCTTGACTGGTGTTTAGGTAAGTTTTATGAGTGTTGCAACACCACATCACTCCCAAACACATGTCGGTCACATCTCGAATGATATAGTTGATCAGGCTTATTGATCCTAGCTATGATTACATAATTGTTCAGGTTTGACGACAGTGTTCACCTTTAAATACTTTAGTTCTGTTCTCCTTGTGATACGTGGTCCTAGTATGTTCCATGTATAAGCACGTAGGTATATTTTAATAACTTATGTTATCGCTTTAAATATATCTTATCCAAGCACTTAAGCCCCATTGTATTTATATTTGTTATATATTTTTATCGGTTGATATACTTAGTTCACTATAAACAATGCTCTGATACCAATCTGTCACACCCCAAAACCAGAACGGCGGAAACGTTCGGGGGTGGAGGACGTCATGTTTAGTATCACAAGATATGCATTATAGTAAGCAAGTAATGAACAACCATTTCATTAGAAAGAAAGTGTTTACAATGTGTGTGTTCACAAAACATAGAATTCATAAGCAAATAATAAAACAAGACTTGAAGCTATTATGCTCCATCTTCCGAGAATACAAGTTATTTGAAAGAGTTGATCAGCAATTAAGCTGGTGAGTTCATAAGATTTTAGTGAGTAGGTAAGTTGTAAAAGATTGTTTGTGAAATGTAGTTGAAAATGTAGTTGTAAAAATGTATAAGTTTGTAAGTTCTGTTTAGAAAAGTTCACATGTTCCTCTAGAAAATCCTATATTTCCTACTTTAATGAAAGATATTAAAATGACTCTACAATCCTTTCTATGAGTACTAAATGGATACAAGTTTATAAGACTCAGAGTAAACAATAATCGATTGTGCGCATCTGCCTAAGGCGGAAAGCACACATCCCATTGTTTTTTTTTGATCATTGTGGTATATAAACCCTGGTGTATTCACTTGTTACTCATGGAGTTAATGTAATGGTTCCTTTATATTTAATGAAAAGATTCTTTAAGAAAACCCTTATTCCTTATAATAAAATGGTGACCACAGTGATTACTTCTATAATCACTTAGTTTATACTGGCTATATATGATCTAATATCGAATAGAAAGTTAATTGGGTGAATCTGCCCTAAGCCCACAACCAAACAAGGAACAGGAAGTAAGGCGGAAAACACACATCCAACTACCTATTGGGTATTAATGATATATAAAATGATGTATAAACTAAGTATTATAGATTTAATCACCTAAGGTCCTTTAAGTTTATACTGGTTTAATAAAATGGATTAAACCCTTAACTGGTAAGTTTCTAGTTTTGTATACCAAAAGTTCTGATTTGGAAAGGTTGTGTTGTACTAGAAAACTGTGCATTGACTCTGTGTCCTATGACTTGACCCATACTTGGTACCCTTATGATGACTTAATGTATACTAAGCATATATATATCTAGAATTGAATAGAAAATAGACTGGGTGAATTCGTTCCAAGCCCACAACCAAACAAGGAACAGGAATGAAGCGGAGGCACACATCCTATTACCTGTCGGATCCTACTAATATATATATATATATATATATATATATATATATATATATATATAGATATATATATATATCCTTTGATGTATACATTAAAGAATCATAAGGTTAGCATTATGGTCCTCTCTACTAAACGTAGCCTTCTACCAAGGCATCTACTGTTATGTGTGTTTGTTTCTTGCATTAGTTGTGTAATTTCCCAAGTGAGACTATCATTAACCAAAAATATAGTTTTTACATTACTGTTTATTGTGAGAAGATCATAATGTGAATGAAATGGGGAAATAATAAAGTACTGTAGTGTTGTATTATAGTAACTACTGTTGTACTTTCTACCTTAAACCAATTGTTATTTAAGGTATAATGTGATATGATTGCACCATACTATCGACTAATAACAGGACAATGAAAGACGTCGGAAGGAATGACATTTGGCACCCGTAGACTTGCAAGTCCCACTGTAGCGAACAGCAAGGTGTAGGATAGTCAATCCAGTATATTTCTATACCCAAATTCACGCTCTCACTCTAGGAGATTCTGGCTGAAAATCGAACCATGACAGGTGATGCCATGCCTCGAAACAGTGATTCACATTTATGTTATTGTATACTTGTATATGTTTTGTATGTACTAGCTGTATTGTATGTTCTCTCTGTCTAGTATGTATGTATGTTCTGTTTGTTTCTCATCATAGTATGCTTTGACTCATGTATGAACTGACTCTTTGTATGCTTCATTGTACTAGAAGTAATGAATATTATCTTCCTAAACTATACCTATTATAGTTTACTAACGTTTTACTTGAACTGTTATTGAAAAGACTCATTTTACTACTAAGTTATGCTTGTACTTTAAAAACGGAGTTTGATTAACATAACTTTAAAAGAGTTTTTGAAATGTTTTGATCACTTATAAAAGACATAAGCAACATTTTGAAAGATGTTTATAACAAACAATTACACAATTATCATTGTGTTCAACTTGTATTCCCCCCCCCCCCCTTAAAAGCATTTAAAACAGTTAAAAGATTCATTACGGGGTATGAACTCACCTGATGTAGGTGATTCAACGAATACGCACGTAAGAATGAGAAGTTCCACGAATGAATTCCCGAGACACAATAAGTCCTAAATGACATATATTGGCATGAATATAGTGTTTATAAGCAACTATATGAAAGGAAACACCTTCCGGGACTAGGAAACACTTTGACCAAGTGTTGGAATCACATTTGATTCATCAAAGGAGAGTGGAATGGCAATACCATGAGTTTAATACCATGGGTTTATGGCCAAAGGGAGTTTACGGCAGTAAACTCATGGTCAAACATGCATAAGTGTGTGTTTGAAGGCTAGGGAAGTTTGAGGGACTTTTGCGCTACACAAGGATGAGAAAGACCAACTCAATGGAGGCTTTTGATGAGTTTACGGCCCAAAGGAGTTTACAGCCGTAAACTCATGGTCATTATGCATTTGAGAGTAGTTTAAAGTCCTATTTCCATCAAGGAAGGGTTCTAGGTCACAAGCTTTGCATCTAGGAGGGTTTATGGCCAAAATTGCACCCTTAAAGGGGTTTACGGACATGGGAGATGGCTTGGCCGTAAACTCCTTTTGTTCTTGTGTTTTTTATGTTTTCAAGGCTCTAAGAATGAGTCCTAACTAGATATCAAGTGTTGGGAAGAGTGCTTACGATATAGAGGCTTGAAATTGTTGATTTTGGCCAAGAACACTAGTGTGTGTTCTTGGTGTTCTTGGTGTTTCTTGAAGATCTAAGAAAAGATGATTTCTATGGATGAAATCAATGGATGAAGCTAGTTAAGAAGGTGTATCAACTAATCAAAGGATAGAATACTTACATATATGAAGATCTTGGATGATACTTGAGAGGATTTGAAGAAAATCGGCTAAGGAAAGAAAGGATGAGAAAATGGCCAAGTTTTATATATGTAGAGGTAAGTTTACGGCCCCCTTGAGTTTACGGCCGCAAACTCTTGGTAACTTGGCCGTAAACTCCTCTTGATGGAGTTTAAGGCTTGCATGTTATACTGTGTTTCTAGCAGGTACTTCCTAACACTCATTCCTTAAGTGTATTAGGCTTAAAACTCCATAGAATGACCTTTAACCAGGCTAGAACTCATTACCAGTGAGTTTGACACTCAGTTGAGTTGACTGACTGGGTTTCAAAACAAAAATTTTTTGGGTTGTCACAACTTTTAACCTAATTTCGCCATGTTTATATCTAATTGACTTTTTCTAACCCTAAATTTATCCCCTTCATAAATCGGCCTCACACCCTTGATTTTTTTTGCAGCTGATCTTGAAACTGATACGTGTTCTTCATCCTCTTCAAATGAATGACATGTTTTCTCTTCAATAACCCTCATCCTTCCCCAGATAACTCAGTTCCATCTCTCCAACTACAAAACCCATAGTCCTCCGCTCCCGCCCATCACCATAATCCTCGTCTCGCAGGAAAAAAGTTCTCCTTCTTCTCCGTCTAGCTGCTCCACCATCTCCTACACTAAATCCTCCGGTTAAACCACGATTTTATTAACCCTTTTGGAGGGTTTGGGGGCTCCAAGCTGAATTTCGTTTTGAATGAATGGCCCAGGAATTGGAATTCGGGAGCAGATTACAGAAGAGGAAAGATGGGTTAAAACCTATATCGATGGCGTATGAGAGTATGAAAGAGTACAAAGCTGCAAAAATAAGGGAATTGAAACCAGTTGTGTTGAATAATCCTCAATTTTCGGTGGACAAGAACGAAGGTGATGACACCGAAGATGAAATTGACGAGGGAGAAGGTAGCAGGGGCATTAAAGTGGCCCCTAGGAACCCTAAATTGGTTGTATATGATCCTGAAGCTGCCAAAGATCCAGAAGGTAATTTTATAACATTCCCACTAAAACTGGCTCAAATAGTACTCATTTCACTTCTATAAAGCTGAATTCTTACATATAATTCCATGAGTTGAAGACGAATTTGTGTTATTATAATCCCGTTTTTGGTTTGTTTTGCTAATTGCTTCACATACATATTTAGTTGATCCATTCCTTTTATATTAGGGCATAACACCCAATAGCAGGCAAGCTTTATAGCATGCTACTGCTAAAGCTTAGCTTCTCTTCATTATACTGATGTTGATTCTATTGGTCTTGAATATTATGGTAGACGAAACAACTACTGTAAACGACATGTGTATTGAATTTTTATTTCTTTTTACTCAAATATACCAAGAGATTATGACTTTTTGTAAATAATGTATATACCAGGTAGAAAGATGGGCAAACCAGTACATTGCTTCTACTGGTTGGTTGCGTGAGAATATTCCTTTTGAAGATTCTTCTGGAAGCACGACAGGTTTTGTCCATGGTGATTTACGGATTGATAATCTTGTTTTCCATCCTGTTGATAATCTTGTTTTCCATCCTGTTGAGGTGTGTTTTCCATTCTATAAGATCATTATTAAAAATGCTCACTTTTGTAGGTCAAGTTATATATAATCTTTCCCAAATTATTAATTTATAATTTAATACTAGGGAAACCCATGGCCTCTTGTTGGACGGAAGTTTTATATTGCATTTTCATTTTTCCGTGGTGCATCAATCTTGGCAGGTGTCCACAATAGTGAAGGTAGTTTGTCACTATTTTCATATCAAATTTACTTCTTCTTATATGATAAAAACCAATTTGTTTATGTAGATGATTCAATGGATGATATTGGTGAGATTCCAATTCTATTGGAATGGAATCACGAATTCCAATTCTGTTGGAATCACAGAAGTTGATGCTTGAAGAACGGACCACAAAAATTGAAAGTGATTCTAAGCAACATTAGTCTTTTAGAATGTATTAGTGTCGTTGTTAGATTTTGATGTTTTCTTTACCGTTTTGAAAGTTTTTTTTTTGTTTTATTCTTTAACAATAAATGTAATTCTTAACAATTGTTACCCGTATTCTATAAGAAATAATGTATTTTTTGTTTTTATTCTTCAATTGTTTGTTTAAGATTTTGTTATTCTACAAGAAGTTTTTAAAGTCATGATCAAGAAATAGGTTCAAGAATATTTTTATTATTTATGGTTCAAGAATATTTTTATTTTTGAATATACTCATAAACATATTCTGTCAGAATGTCCGAATTAAAAGAATTATAATTCGTAAAATCGGATTTTTAAAATTAATAAAATCTATGATCCCTTAAAAAATGCAGCTTTCCTTTATTAAATCTATATTAATTGACTAAATTACCCTTGTAATTAATTAAGATGATATTTTTCAATTATATTTAATTCAATAATATATATTAATCACTTTCTTAAAATAAGTAAATTTGATTGGCCCACATTTATGCATACAATAACACAATATTTACTTTGAATAAAATAACCTAAGCTTATATATAATAAATATAATATATATATATATATATATATATATATATAATATATATATAATATATATATATAATATATATATATATATATATATATATATTTGGACTCTTTTTGCATGATTATAACATTTAAAACGTAAAAAAAATATTTTTAGAATTATGAATACGTATTTTATAGATATAGTTTTTAGAAGTATAAATACATATTTTTACATTTTTAGAAATAATAATATGTATCTATACTTCTAAAAATATATTTATACTTCCAAAAAAAATATACAAAAATACATTTTCACTTCTAAAAATGTGTGTATATACTTATAAAAACGTAAAAATAAATGTCTGTACTTTTAAAATATATATTAATATTTCTAAAAAATATAAAAATATGTATATATATAAACACGTTTATGATTGAAAAAATATTTTGCATATAAACATGTTTTTTTATTGATATATATATATTTTTAAATACATAAAAATACATATTTGTAGTTCTAAAAATATATTAATTTATTTTTTTTACATTTTAAACGGTTTAACCAAATAAAAAAAACCCATATATATAAAGAAATAACATTTAAAAAAAAGAACGTAAATAAATTATTTAATTGAAAAAATCCATATATAAATAAAAAATTTATGCAAGAATACGTATAACATGAAGAAAAATACTTACGGTAAAAGTGTAAAAAATTATAAACTTAAGGGTAAAAATGTAAATAAGAAAATAAAAAAATAATTAAAAGAAAAAAAACAAAAAAATAAAAAACCTGTAAAGTCAAGGGTTTTTTTTTTGCGAAGTTAATATAATGGTAACCAAGAAAACCTATTATCACCGGTAAAAGGGTAAAAACGAACATGTTTTTGGAAAATGTGAGGGTAAAAACGGACATATAATTCAACTTTGGGCAAAACCGACAAAGCCCTGAAAACTTAAGGGTTTTTTATGGCATTAACTATTCGGGAAATTTTTTTTAGGAAGATAACCTTTGATGAAAGGACATTTGATGGAAATATACAAATCAAAGATTCTCTAAAAACTAAGGTGTTGTTTGGTTCGTTGGAATCCATTGGAATTAGAAGGAATTGGAATCTAATTTCATCACTTTCCTTTGTTTGGTTCAAGCTTTCAAAAGGAATTGGATTCCTAAATGAGTCAAATTTTCCTTCCAATGAGGGAAAATAAATTTCATCCAAAAAGTTAAGGAATTAAAATTCCCTTCAAGTGAAAATGTTGAATGTTAACATATTATCCATTTTACTTTTAACACTACATATGAAACCCATCTGTCGCCACCACCATCGCCACCTCCACCATTATCCACCACCCACCACCGCTACACACCACCACCACCACCACCTCCACTGCTATCCACCATCACCACCACCAGTACCTACGCTACTACCACCCTCCACCCACTAGCACCGTCACCTCCACCACCACTCATCACCACCACCTCCATCACCACACATCACCGTCGTCACCACCCGCTACCACCACGTCCGCCACCACCCACCACCGCCACAACCACCCACCACCACCATCGTCACTATCACTCGCCACATCCACCACTGTTTCAACCTCTACCACCACACCACCCTCCCCATCCACCACCACGACCATACCATTACTGCCAGCACCAACAACTCCGCCACCACCCTCATCACCACCACCGTTACTATCACCATTGCTACCTCCACTACTACACCACCCACTACCTCCGCCACTACTCATCGCCACCACCATCACAACTACTACCGTCACCATTGTCATCGCCTCTGCTCCTACCCCACATCACCTATGTCTTCATCAACACCACTACTTCCACCATCAACATCACTCCCACCATCACCATCATTTATTATTTTTATAAATTATATAATATATTTTTACATATAAGTTATAAAACAAAGTAAAAATAAGCAAAAAAAATGACAATTTTGTCATTTTATATTATTTTAATACCATTTTCTGCCAACCAAACATAATATGGAATTGGATTCAAATTTCATTACTGGCAACCAAACAGAATATGGAACTGGATTAGAATTCCTGACAGATTCTAATTCCTTAACATATTTCAATTCCTTCAAAAAAATTCAGCGAACCAAACGCCACGTAAGGAATCCTGGATAAATTCTGGTTAAGAATGAATCTTTGGGAAGCTTAAGGAGAAATGGTGCATCAGAGTTATAAACTCCTTGTGGATGGATTTTCCTCGGATGTAGAGAATCACCAAGTGGATGGTCTTAGGTATGCAAAAGGGTAAGGTTGTTAGGATTTACTGTAGCATATCTCCTCACAACATAAGTTTTAAACAAGAAGGGGATGAGCTAGAGATCATGCTCGTCTCATTTTGACCCCCTTATATATGTAAGACTTGTCCTCAAGTCAAGGCAATATTTCACTCCCTCACTATACATAAATGCTCATTGGGAAGTTGTGGACATCTTGATGGTTAATTCAGAAATGGACTTCTCCAATATTTTTTGCTTCACCATTGGAGTTCACCTATGGAGTTGCATGTCTAGTCTATTCCTTTTTTCTTGAAAATAAATGATCACGGTGTGGTTTAATTCCAGTTTATATGAAATATTTCACCAACCAGCCAAGAAGCATCATACTCAATCCAAACCATCTCAAAACGCTCTTGTCTTCAAATGTATAAGCCAATCTATTTGTTTCCACCCATTCAATCTTTCCCTCAATGAAACATCACTCGTCGATGTTGTACAAGAGGTTATAGGTAAATGGGATAGACTGTACGTAAGAACTTCGATTGGAGGTCAAAAAGCCAAATCACTGAAGTCACGAAGGCAATTAAACAAAAAGGGTCGTGATCATATGAGATCCATAATGAAAATATGTAAATTCATTACTATTGGGATTAACAACTAAGGAAACTTCAAGCTTAATATGATAACCTATCTAAATCAACTAATGTTAACTGAATTGATTAGCATCCAAATTAAGAGTTTGTAAATGGATCGCCACTGGGATTGAAAATCATGGAAATTTTACGCCCACATAATAATTTGTAAAGTTAGACTCACCAATATTACTAGTGAAGGAAGAATAGGAACCCACCATGACATTTCATAAAGGAACGAGCCATCAGGAATGATGATAAAATGTGTTTTGAAAGCACCACGAACGTCCGTAAAGATCGAGCCACCAAGAAAAATGATAAAGGTGTTCAGGTAAAGTATCACCACCCGGATTCATAATGGCAGAGCTATAGAAAGAAAGGATAACATGATCACTCTAAATGGTAAAGGACACAAAGATATGATAAAAGTATTTAATACACAGTTTTTCATTTCTTAATTTTATGTCTCATATAATAAAAGGAGCTCATTATTGATAGAGGGAAGAACCCTAATCCAAACAAAACTAATTAAATATAAGTTTTGCAAGAATAGTAGAAAAAGTAACATAGTGAACCAGTATTTTTTTCGAAGATATGAGTATGATTCTCATATTTGATGTTTATTTCTTAGATGATTTGACCTTACTTATAAAAAATGACAATCTTTAGTTAATACATTAATTTACCAGAAATGAGATATGTTGGAACCCATAGCCTCATTGATATAGAAGGATGGTACGTATTTATTCAAAATATTGGACGACGAAAATCTGTATGTTCTTCGAGTGTCTTATCTTTTGACGAGATTAGTAGAGTTATGTATCTTTTAGCCTTTTCTCTAGAAGACAGGGAGACTTAAAGAAGAAGAAGACAATATTTTTAGTGCAAGTGAGGCTAGTTCCAAAGAAGTTTCAACCTTCTCATCATATTTTGGACCTTTATAAGTTATAAAGCTTCAACCTTTGTGAGTTTTCTCTATAGATTTAGTGCTTGGAAATATTTTAGAACATTTTTGGTCAGGATGGTCCCATTTTGCTTGGGGTTTGGAAAACTCTAGTATTTTGAGTTGTTGAATGGTTTCTCTGGACTTATTGTTAGTATGAAAAGAGAGCATGCATCATCTCTCTTTGAGCCATGCAATAAACTCTAGGCTTTTTGCCTTTTTGGCCTTATTATGGATCTAGGGTTAGTGTTTACTTTTTTAGAGGCATGGATGTTGATAAAATTGAAAAGTTTATCCATTAACAACCTCATTTGATGGTTTTTTGGAAAGTTATATCGTCTAACTTAACTGATTAAATGCTTCACAAATAGGTTGGCCTACCAGTAGACGTCATTAGTTCATCCTTGCACGCGACACATAGGTACGAGTTGTATAGCGACTATTTTGGTATTTAGTAGACACGACATGTCCATATATTAATGCTACTGTAACACTCCCTTTTCACCTTTTCGTAGAATTTAGTATAAAGCGTTCTTTATAAAATTCTAAGTAGAGGTATATTACTTTTTAGCCAAA